TGGGCTTGGATGTTTTAATCACTGTAAAATAAGAATAATAGTACCACCATGGGGCTATTGTGAGGACTGCAAAGATCTCCATGTGCAAGAACTTACTTGTAACAGTTGTCCAATACGCTGTTGCTAATATGTTATTTCCAGAGTGTGAGGCTTGTATACAGGGGTCTGCAAGGTAGGGAGGGGTCCTGTGCAAAATTTATAAGATTTCTGCCTCCCCAATTTATATCTTAACTCTTCCTGCCCATTCTGCAGGTGTCCAAAATGGCCTTTCATCGGCCCCAAACTTCTGGGCAGTCTTTGTTGCCTCCTGCCATTTACCAAGGGGCAACTTGGAGCCAAGGAGTCCGCACTCCCGCTGAGGCGGGTATGATCCCCATTTTACTCACACTGCAAGTTGAGGTTTGGGGCAGTCAGGAGAAGTCCCGTAGAAGACAAGCCTGTCTGCCTGCCCCTGGGGGGAGGCGGCTAGAGTACCCAGGCCCTGAGCGCCACTGTTCGTCCAGTAGGGGCAAGAATGCAATGGGGAGAGCTCAGACCAAAGGGGGTGACTCCAGATCTGTCCTTGCCCTTGAAAGAAAGGTGTGTCTGCTGCGTCTTTCCGCAATCGGGACCTTCTACCCAACTCAGTCCTACATGCCTGATCTCCAGAGTTCCAGCCCCTAACTGCAGGGACTGGGCAGTTACCCTCCAGTGCTGGAGCATGCTCCCCTGCTATTCATTCGTTCATTCATTCGTTCGTTCGTTTATTCACTCCTTCAGCCATTCATTCAATAGATATTACTGAGCGGTACCATGTGCCAGGCACTTACTTCCTACTGGGGAGACAGTAGCCAAGAACTCACATTCTAGTAGGAAGACAGACAATAAACCAAGCAGATCAACAAACGTGGAAATAATGTCAGATCAGCATAGATACTATGGAAAAAAACAAACCGGCAGACGGCACTGAACAGTAGCTAGGGTGGGGAAGGAAGGTCTCCCAGAGGAGGTGACACTGAGCACTTGGCCTTGACAAAAAAAGGCTTTTTCTTCAGCACTTTCCCTTCCCCAGCGGCGTGGGGAGCCCTCAAATGGGGGAAGCTGTTTCCAGCCCTCAGAGGAGGAGTTGCCACAGGGAGAAGAAAGGGGACAATCATGATGTGGCTGCAGGGGGTGGGGGTGCAGGACCTAAAGCAGAGGGCCCTGCTGCCCCCCACTGTTCCTGGTGGCAGTGAAGTAACAGGAAGTACAGAGATGGCCAAGCCAGGGGCGTCAAGAGCAGTCGGAGGACCTTCAAGACCAACAGCAAGTCAGAGGGAGCTTTAGCTGCAGGAGAAATACCCTACCCCGAAAGCAGAGGCTGGGGCCAAAACCTGGCTTCAGTGCCCTCGGAGTTGCCAGGTGGCTGGTAACCTTCATTGGGGAAGTGCGTGGGAGGGGCTTGGCTTTCAGCAATGGATGGAGGGATGGGTGGGCTGATGGGTGAACAAATGACTGGACGCACACAGACAGAAATAACCCGCTACACTTATTAGTGTTCTCTCCCGAAAGGTGTGTTTTGGGGGAAGGCACTTGGAAGAGGGGGTCAGTGACGGTTTTCATGAGGCAAACAACATGCCCAGCATGTTCTCACCTGGGTCACAGGCAAACCCACACCCAGGTTCATACCTCCTCACTCGCAAGCAAGTGCCCAATCTTTCTGAGTCCATCCATAAGATACAGCATAGAAAGGTAGAATTCTGGTTCTCATGATGGTTCCAAGGATGCAGGACATCAATGCACCAGAGGGATTCCGGTTGAAGGCATCAAATGCCATACCCACTTGGGTTTGAAATTCCCCAGGTAGCTGGGGAAAAGGCTGGATAATGAGGAACTAATGAAATAGGTAATAAAAACCAGGGTGGGTAGGTGGTGAAGAGGCAGGGCTTAAGGAAAGCTTCCTGGAACTGGGCAGGTTTTTTGCATTGAGAGCTTGCAGCAGCGCAGAGATCACTGGAGAAGATCATGTCATTGCAACTGCACCTGTCTTGCACCCATGCATTTCGATGCATCCCCTCATGTCTAGGCCTGGAATTGGAGGGGTGGGGGAGAAAGAGAGGGTTTGCTGCCACGGCGCAGGGGCTTGTGGGCAGCTTCTGGGTGCACGGAACGGAGAGCCTGCTCGCTTGGCACTCCTTGGCAAAAATTCACCCCTAAGCCTCTGGACCACACGTTGTTTTTTCGTTCATTCATTCAACACACCTTCTATGAGGACCTATGATGTGTCAAGTCCTATAGTGAACAAAACAGGCCTGGTCCCTGTTCTGAGAGAACTCGCTATTCTTGGGCAGCCCCAGAGAGGTTGGCAGGCTCTTAATTTTGTCGCTTCATTCCTGAAGAGGGGGAGGGATAAAGGAAGCCAAAACCCCTGGAACTAGTATGGCAAGAGGCAGTGAATAGAAACCTGGGTCCAACAGCTCTGACTTTAATATTTTTTTTTTCACAAATATTTGTGGGGCACCAAGCTTGGAAGACACTGCCCTCTAGGAACCTCTGACTAGTGAGGTCAAGATTCACATGGACATGGGCAACCAAGACAACAACGGGGTCCGAAATAGCAACTCAGCAAAAGGGAGCACCATATCCCACTGGGAGATATGGGGAGGCTTTCGGGAGGAAGGGACCCTAGCTAGACCCCAAATCATTTACAAGACAAAAGCGCAGGAATGAGATTGGAGAATTCCAGGTAGAGGAAACCCCCAGGCTACTGCGCACAGGCAGGACTTGGCAGGTTCTGAGAACTGAAAGAAGTTGGTTGGACTGGAGCATTTGGGATGATGGAGGCTCATCCACTGTTTACTATCTGAGGTTGGGAAATGCGATGGTTTCTTTGAGTTTCAATCTACCCATCTGCAAAATGGGTAAGACAAGGTGAGTGATGTCACATTGTTGGGGGGGTGGCAGGGGGAATGACCTGTGGATGGCTTCTGGCACAATAGGTGCTCAATAAATATAAGATGACGTATATCTGCGTGGCTTACGTCTGAGGGCCACAGAGGCACGGGTCCCATGGGCCGCGGGGGAGGGTTTCAGACCTGCGCACCCTTGGCCTAGGTTTTCGGAATATCTTTATTAACGAGCACTTCAAGGTAAGCCGCGATGGAAACCAGATGTGGGATCCAGCAGTCGGCGGCAGAGCAAGGAGCAGAGATACCAAGGGGGTGGGGTGGGGGTGAGGATTAGCCCAGCTGAGGTTGGGGGTAGAAGCACGACCCCCCAGGTATTTTTTCTTTGGGAGACCTTTGGTGCAGAAGATTGATTTCTGACCCGCATCCCTGGGTTCGTGGCGCTCAGGCACTCTCTCCTTTTACTTTGCCCCTTCACCTCTCACCCCATCCCCCGCCTCCTTTGAGGTAAATCCTCAATCCACGGACTTTCCCTGCAGTTTATCAAAAGCTGCTCTAAGTGGTCTCCTTCCAACTGAGTCATTCCCCAGTGGGAGACCCATTTCCTCTGCTTTTTGCGTTTTCGCTGTCCCCAGTGCCATCCCAGGACCATGGAGGGACTAGCCCCAGCATGGGTTCCAAGGCGGGCCCCCGCCAGATGACCGCACCTCTCTGAGCCTCGGTTTGTTCATCTAAAATTGGGGACCCCAACCTCCACCCTTCACAGTTCTTGTGAGGCGGCGCAATCGATGACCAACCCTGGGGAAAAATCTGGACGCACCCTAAAAGCTCTTCTCCCTTGCTGTGGCTGGTCCCAGTGGCCCGAGGTGCGCGCTGCCGAGCGAGGGAAACCACAACCCGTCAAATCCAAGCCATCGGTTTTACAGTGGGAGACGGTGAGTCTAGAGAGAGAAAAGGCTTCCTCACCCTTATCCCAAGCCATGAGCAGGTGACAGCGAGACGACAGGGCACAGCCAGCAGGTCTCCAAACTCCTCGCTCTCAACCTCGCGGACCGAAACCCCCCTGGGCTGGGTGCAGATGGGAGGAGAGCGCGGCTCTGTCCCAGGAGGGGAGGGAGGGGACCGAGCTCTAAAGCTTCCATAACGGGGCCCATCAAGGGCTTCTCTGGTGTTTGAGCACACACAGGCCCCTCGACACCCTGCCCCAGCACCCATGTAGAGGAGGGAAGCAGTTAATTAGACGGGAAAGTGGCTGAGCGCAGGACTACCGCCCTGGGTGTGTGCTGATTTCGCAGAGGGACCGAGAATGGGGAAGAGGGGTTGGAAGCAGAGAAAGAGGCACTGGTGGGAAGGCCCAAAGCTGTGCCGACAAATTCGAAGGTCATTGTCCCAAGGACTGCACTAGGAGGCTAGCGACCCTTCTGACTCTGAAAGTGAAAACCTGTTAGGTACTTTTTGTTTCTTTTCTTTTCTCTTTTCTCTTCTTTTTTTCTTTCTTTTAATCTGTCCCTAGAGTTTTGCCTGCCTCCCTCCCCTGGGCCAAACCGTGGACCCGCTATTCTCAGCCTAGTTTCAGGAGTCCTAGGGCCGGGTCACCTCTCCCACCCGGCCTAGAATCGGAAAGGCCCTCGGGCGCCTCCGGGTTTAATCCCCAGCGAGCGCGTTAGTAGCATCTCCGTGAGAGAGGGGAAGGGAGGAGCAGGGGGTGTTAGGAGAGTAGGGAGAGAGGAGGGGTGGGGTGGGGGAAGAAGGAGAGAAGGAAGGAGAGAGTCAGGGGGAAAAAATTCACTCTCCCTCTTTTTTCACCCCCACTTCAAAATCTTAAGAGGCTTTGGGAGATCTGGTCAACTTTCCGAAACATCTGAATCTTTTTACAGCCCTCCGTCCTTTCCCTGGGCCAGCTGCGGGGAGGGAGAAGGAAGAGAGAGGAGGAGGGGGAGGAGAGAGAGACAGAGAGACAGAGAGAGAGAGAGACGAGAGGAGAGAGAGAGAGAGAGACGTGGAGGGAGGAGGGAGAGCGAGCAGGCCCGCGCGGAGCGCAAGGCCACCGCCTCCTCGCCTCCCCAAACTCCCGGGCAGGGCGCGCGGTGGCGTCCTCGCGCTCTCGCTCGCGCCCCCGCCCGTCGCCCGCGCAGGCCAGGCATGAATGCTGAGACTTGCGTCTCTTACTGCGAGTCGCCGGCTGCTGCCATGGACGCCTACTACAGCCCGGTGTCGCAGAGCCGGGAGGGCTCCTCGCCTTTCAGGGCATACCCCGGCGGCGAGAAGTTCGGCACAACTTTCCTCTCGGCCGCCGCCAAAGGGCAGGGATTCGCAGACGCCAAGAGCCGGGCCCGCTACGGCGCGGGGCAGCAGGACCTGGCGGCACCCCTGGAGAGCGGCGCCGGGGCGCGGGGCTCCTTCACCAAGTTCCAGCCGCAGCCGCAGCCGCAGCCGCAGCCGCAGCCGCCCGCCCCGCAGCCGCCGCCGCCGCCGCCCGCGCAGCCCCCGCATCTCTACTTGCAGCGCGGCGCTTGCAAGACTCCCCCGGACGGCAGCCTCAAACTCCAGGAAGGCAGTGGCGGCCACAACGGGGCCTTGCAGGTCCCCTGCTACGGTGAGTGCACGTGCGGGGCGCTCGGGGCCGGGGCTCGGGGCGGGAGGCAGGGCTCGGCGGGCCGGGGTGGCTCTGGGTCGGACAACGGGAGCCGACGGTTCCGAGGGGACCGTGGGATCGGTCCGGCCCCCTTCATCTCCCACGCCGAGGGCTCGGAGCGGTTGTGGCTGTTAAACCCGCCCTGGGGCTTGTTTTCTCCCCGTCCTCGCCGGTTCCCCCGACCACTCGCTTTGCGCGGCTCGCGGGGCCGCCTCCGAAGCGGATGCTTCGCCCGGCTCGGGGCGTGCGGCGGCGAAGTGGGGGGCGCGGCGCTCGGGCGCGGGGCTCCGGGGCTGCCGAGGCCTCGCTCCCCGCAGGCCTGGAGGCTCCCCGGGCGGTGCTGCAGGTGGGAGCGTCGCAGGTGCCGAGCCCGCTGGGAGCCCGGAGCGCAGTCGGGCTGAGCGCGCCCGGGGAGCCGCGGGTCGGGGACGCCGCACGGGTGCGGGGCCGCAGACGCCTGGAGCCGCCGAGGACCCGAGTTCGCCCCCTACACACACACACACACACACACACACACACACACCCGACAAGCGCGGCTCGCCAGGGGGAGGCAGGCCGGCTGGCGTTCGGAGCGATTCTCGCCTGGCGACCCTGGGAGGCGGCTGGCCTCGGAACAATGGTTTAGGACCGACCGGCAAGAAGGCAGGGAGCTGCAGAGTTCCAGGCAGCGCAATGCTGGGGGAAGAGGGAAGCTTCTGGGTCCTGATTTGGGCCCACAGGGAAAGCCGAGGCCTAAATGACCTCCAAGCCCCCTTGAGCTCGCAGGCAGGACATAGGCCTGGGCTCCCAGAGCTTAGCAACCATGATGGAGGGAAGGGCAGCCTGAGGCCAGAGCCGCTCAGGAGCCTAGGCCTTCTCGCCCACTGAATCGGGATTGACAAGCCCCAAGCTGGCAAAGAGAGAAACCCAGAAGGGAGGGAAAAATCTTCCTGGGCTAGGAGCCCTGGATACACTCTCCCTGAGGCCTTGGCCTTCAGGCAGGACCCTGGAGATGAGCTGGTCCTGACACAGCAACAGCTTTGGCTGCACTGGTCCAGTCTGGATGGAGAGACACCAAGACTGGGGACAGACATGGGACATGGTGGAGGCCTTGGTGGCTAGAATTGCCTTAGGAAAACAGCCCATGGCAGACACTTTCTTATATCCAAACTAGCTTTCCAGAGGCTCACAACTAGTTCATTAGGTGGTTGTTGACGCAAACAATTGCACAATCATAGACTTGACTACACACACAACCTCTTCCTCATAAGCCAACAGTCACACACTAAATACACTCAGTCATATGGCCTCACACATAGTCACACACTCCCAAACCCACAGGACAGGACTGAGAGCAGATTTAGAAAGGTCCAGTGGCCTTTCCCCACTTCCACCGCCTTTCCTCTCCACCTTCCTGTGGGAATGAGATCAGGCACTCAGATCACAGACATTCACGGCCGCACACAGGTGCTCCTTCCCCACTCGGGCAGGCAGGGGTTGTCAGCTCCTGTCAGCAGGCATCCGCCTGCCAGGGCTGCAGACTCGTGCTCCCTCCTCCAGGCCTTACCCAGGCCCCTCCTGGTCCCTGTTGCCAGGACTATTAGGTGGGAGCAAGTCTCAGACTGAGGGGCCCGTGGAGGTCCATCGTGCAAAGCCAGGAGCCTCATAGGCTTTCTCTCCCACTATACTGGATTTTCATGTTTTAAAGAAATCCACCAAAGAGGCTTCTGCAGAGGAAGAGACATTACATAAGAAGAGGTGCCAAGCTGCTTCCAACCTCTTGTTTGGCAGATGTCTTCAGGTCCAGGGAGAGAGAGGAAAGGGCTGGCCTCCTCTGGGCACTGTCTCAGAGCGCTGCTGGGCCCCCACACACCGGCCTGGCCCTTCCTCTAACTTGCATTAGCCGGTTGAGCAAGCGACTCCTCGAAGGCCCTTTTCCTCATAGAGGTAACTGCATCAGTGGGTGGTAAGTGCCCCCCCACCCCACGCCAAGAAAGCAAAAGTCTAGTCTCCTCCAGGATTCCCCCAAAAGCCTCTGTGCTGTTGGGAACCTGTAGACACTCAATTCTGAGGACAGTGCAGGCCCCTGCCCCTGCTCTGGGCAAAGCCCTAAGCTGCAGATTGGGACAAAAGGAGGCCCAGAATCAGCCACAGGACCACCACTCCCCTGCTGCCTGAGATGGAGGCACCGCTCAGGGCAAAACCACAAACAACAAACAGCTCTGTTTATTCTTCTCCTAGCAGCTGAGCTTCCCTGGCCAGGAGGAGATTTCTGGCCCTTGCGGAAAGATTAGGCGCATGAAGTCCAAGATGAGAAACCAAGGCATCAAGAGGTTAGGCTGTGCCCTTTACAGAGGCAGCTGGGAGGAGGGCCTCTGGAGTTGGCTCTGTAGGTGGCCAGCAAGCAGGGAAACTGAGGCACACGCTGGTGGCAGTTCTCTCCCACACTTGGAGAATGTGGACTCAAGAGGGGGTAAAGGGGGTTCAAAGAAAAAGCCGGCCCCCCGCGATCTGACTGCAGGTAGCTTGGACCTTGCAAACCTCCCTCCCGGCTCTTTTGGTCCCGGGGCTGGAAGCTCGGTTCTGGATCGGCGGACCGGCACCGAATGGGGGGCGAGGCCCCGGAGACCTCCTCCGGGACCTCAGCCTGGGGAGCCACTCCCGGCGCATCCAAGCGCCCCTGCGCGAGCGAAGCCCCGGCCTGGCGGGTTTGCGCCAGGGCCACGCTGAGCGGGCGCGCGGCGGGGAAGCCGCCTGCAGTCCCCGCGGGCCCGGCCTTCTCCTTCCCGGAGCTGCCGAAAGTGGAGGTGAGAAATCCTCTCAGTCCGCAGGCGTCCCTACCCCTCCCTGGGCCTCCGTTTCCCCCTCAGTACTAAAAGCTCGCCGAGCAAGCCGATGGGCAGTCCCCTCCGGGTGCAGGAGATGATTGCAAGTTTGGGAACGTGCCCCACGGTTCGCGCGTGCTGCAGTCACCATCTCGCCGGGCTCCCGGGGCGCACCTCGGCCTTGCGAAGTCCTTGCTGGTTCCTGGCCCGTCCTTGGGCCCATGGGCCCCAGCGGACCCGCCAGGTTGGAGACCCGACGTTTCTCCGCCGCACAAAGAGCCTCCTCGTCGCCAGAGTGAGGTCTCCCACGCCTCGCCCCCGAGCCCCGGGCAGCCGCCCCGAGCCCCCCCCCCCCGCGGCCGCCGCTGCCCCAGGCCTCGGCCATGCGCCCCGGGAAGCTTCGGGGAGCAGCTCTGCTCCCTCCTTCTCTTTCGCTTTCGATTCGGTGCGCGCAGGTTTTCGTTGCTAGCCGCTGGCTACCTTGCCATCCACGTGCCCCCCCACTCCCCCAAAGAAGCGCTCACAGCTCAGAGGTCGCGAGATGCGCGGGCCGGGCCGGAGACCCCTGGGGCGCCGCCCAGGGGCTGGTCCTCATTTGTCGAATTAGATGCAGTGTTTGAACGCTAAGGGTATTTATTTCCCCCGCACCGACACAGTCCATACACCACCAAATGTGTAAACCCCGCCTGGGTCCTATTCGAAGTTAGTCAAAGAACCCGCGTGTGGTTTTGCGTAAGAGAAGCCCAAAATAAGACCGCGAGAAACGGACAGGAGAGAAGAAGCAGTTAAGAGCCCCTGGGTGATTGTAGGATGATCGAGAGAAAACTCCAGCCTGGGAGCTGTGCCGATGCCGACCCCGGTCACTTTTGGAGGGGCAGAGAAGGAAAATGCTTTTAATGTTGTACTTTGTTAATTTCTGTAGCCGTCAGCGGGCTGGAACAGTTGGCCTAAACACAGATGACCTTAAATAGAAAAACAGAAGGCCTGGATTAAAGGTTTAGTATTTTAAATCAATCGATTTGCAGTTTTTTTTTTTATTATAAGTTATTTCAGTGCAGTACACAGCTAAGTGGAAAGTTCGAAGAACTGTTCTGTAAACTACCACCGGGATCACGATACAGACGCATATATATACCCGAAAATTTGGGGGGAATTTTTTTTTTTTTTTTTTTGGTGAGTTGTTTTAAGAAAAATTCAGAAGAGACTTGGGAGAGCCGGAGACCCCACCCCCGTTTGCGACGGTGGTGTTTCTTGAGCAGGGTGACCTTGTATGCCCGGACATTTGCACCACCCGGACTGGAAAACGAGGTTACTTACCCGCTGCACCAGAAACCTCGATGCAGCGGCCAGGCTGTCCCGGTCCGGACTCCCCAAAGCCCCGGGCTGGGCAGGCTGCAAAACGGAGCCGAGGTAGGAAAACAAGTTAAAATACCATGCATAACATTTCCCGAAGTCCCTAAGGACTTTCGTTTTGGAGAGCAGCGGGGCACACTTTTCCGGGGATGTACCTTCATCTGGGCCTCAGCCGCTTTCTTCCTGCAGCTCTGTGCGCGCGCGGCTTTGTTTTGATGGAAAATTGGAATACAAAGTGGAAATGTGGTGGCCTTCGCAGCGGTGGGGGTGAGGGGAGGTTGGAGTCCCGCGTGCTCAGTCTGGGTTCGGGCTTCTCTGCTGACCGGGGTGCCCGAAGCAACAGGAGGGGAAAACTGCCGGGAGTGCCCGAGGCTCCGTCCGAGGCTCCGAGGCCAGGCGTCCGGGAATGGGGAAGCCACCGGGCTTGGTGGTGCTTGGTTTTGCTGCAAGGAAACGGGAGTAGGGAAGAGGGGCTGCGACAGAGTGCTTGGCTAGAGAGCTCCCTGCCCCCGAACGAAGCCTGCTGCCCAGACACCTCACCCCCCCCCCCCCCACCTAGGCCCAGGCACTGTTTTGGGTGGGGCAGTGGGAGCCCAGTTGTGCCTCTGGACGCCGCCTTCCAGGCGCCATCTGGCCACATGCTCCCCAAGCTATGGGGTTCCCGGGCATCGATAAAGTGACAAGGCGGGTCATCAGAGTAGGAAATCAAGACAGCTCCGTGCTGATACTGCTCAGTGAATTCAGAGTTTAGGACACTGGGGCCCCTTGCTCAGGGGCCCTGGGCACCACACACCTTTGTTGGGT